TGAATGTTTATTATCGTAATTAAGATCAAACTGAAGCAGGTGATGCATCCTCAATTTCATTCAAACTTGCAGGTTTCAATGACAGAAATGAAATCTCCACCCACAGAAACAAATGGAAGGATTATTTAAGGTGCTATGCTGTTTACTGTCACTGTACAGCTTTAAAACTGCATCAGCATTAAAGTATGTAAGGAAAGGAAATCCACCCAGCTTTATGTTTTTGAATGTAAGGATGAGTGACTCATCGTCCGACACCTCATACAAATACATGTGTCTAATTTCTGAGGAATGCAATTCATGTTTCATGGCAAAAGACATGAAGGGAAATCAAGTCTCATCTTTCTCATCAGGCAACGTTCAGGGGTTTCAGTGGATATCAGACACTGATGCTTTAATCCCTATTCTTACTTTACACTCTGCTGTCATTGCAGACGTTCTACTTTTTTAAATTCAGCAGGGACTACAGTAAAAACATTGCCCACTGAAAACAGGAATTAAGTCTAAAGTATAGTCTGCAACAGCTCAACAACGATGTTCTCTGTTTGGCAGAGACACAGGAAATAAAACCAGTTCTGTAAACCACTTAATAAAGAAGTCTTACAACTGGTCAAACAACTGAAAGAAAGGAGCTTTTGTTGGAAATTGTTTCACCATTTTCAAAACAACTTGTATCAGGTTCCTCTAAAAACTATCATGTATCCCTCCCTGGGTGTAGTAAAAGGCTCTGCATAAAAGGCATTTGTGTTTGAAAGCTCTCTAAATTCACCTAGAGTGAACTTCAATGGATACGATTTTATATTAACATAGCTGAGAAAAATCTTTGTTTGCATCATTTCACAATTTTCCAAACTGAAATTTCTTGATTGATTAAAGACATTTTGCATTATTTGGGACTTTTTTTGCACAATACATTCTCACTATTTGGTTGGATCTTTTAAACGTTGCACAAATCTTAGCTTAACCAAACCCAAGCTAGATATTCCAACTCCATAAAATAATCCAGGTTAGATCTTTATTTTGGCAATTAAAACAAACCCAATACTGAACTGTTGTCTACTGATTGATTCAGAGGAAAAAGAAATGACAACTGGGTGAAGTCTTCATTATATGAAGGAATAAATAAAGTCATAAAAAAGGGCGCCACTCACCCTGACATTTGCCGCCATTGGTCGGGTCTCCGTGGTAACCCGGCATGCAGGTCTCACAGTTAGGACCAGTGGTGAGGTTGCGACACTGCTCGCACACACTGCCGTTCACACACGTGCTGTGGCCGTTACACTGGCATGCTGGAAAGCAATATCAAGACAAGAGGATAAAAAGACCTGAAAGAAGAAGGATGATTTAAAAATGCATGTCAATAAACCCGAGTGTCATGGAGTCGATGCGGGATTTAGGAATTTTACTACAGCTACGGTTGAAACCCATTAATGCTGCCAGCAGCCATGTTATAGGAATCACTTTTGAAAAATCATTGCTTCTTTTTGGAATTGCATTTATTGGAACAACTTTAAATTAGCCTTTGGATATACTAAAACCAGAAAGAAAATGTGGTAATTTCCATAAATTAAAATTTATAGCAGAAAACAACCTTGGATTGATCACATTATCACGTTGAGAAAGGGTTATATTGTTATCTGATAACATGTGTTGAAGCGTGGAACGGAAGGAGAATTAAAGGGGGAGAGTAGCATTAGGTTGCAAAAGTCATCAGGGAGGGATTGGTTGCATTCAGCAGCTGAAACTAGATTCCAATACACAGATATCTTTTCAGACCAAAATCAGAACAACCCAACGGTCAATACCTAATAATGTAGTAGAGATACTATAAGGTGGGACGGGGTGTATATTACTCACCAGGGCAGCTAATGAAGGCCCATTCAAATCCTTTGTCTTTGGGGCAACTGCCAGGCTCAAGGCTCATGTCATGGGAATGGCCCTGCTGGCCCTGCTTTGCAGCTCTTTTCATGGGCCCCCTGTAAGACCCTTCCATGCACAGTCCCTTCCCTGTGCTGCTGGGGTCGCCACACCAGCCGCACTCGGGCTGATCCAAGCACTGGGAGCACGTCCGCAGTCCTGAACAGTTTTGAGCTGGAGAGGAAAACAAGTAAAGGTCACATCTCTTTGTGCTAATCACCACTTTCATTTGGCCATTCATTTCAGAGGACATCAAACGCATCTTTCTTTTGTCTTCTAAAGCATTTTGAATCCTTGAACTTGTCTGCATTGTTAATCACATTACGAACACAAACTACTATGTGAATTATTGCTGGATAGTCAACACCACCATGAGGACACAGAGGACGGCTCTGAAAGCAACATTGGAGAAACTTTATGCGTTTAAGTTATAAACAGGAATGGACAATTTTTTACTTTTCTCATTTTTTCTGATGAAAGGAAAACCGATGGATTACATTTTTGTGACCTTTTGTAGGCCGTCCTTTCAAACCTCTGTTACTATTGTTTTACTTTGTGTTTTCTACCTTTTAAGTCTGAATTAATTGAACCTTTCCACATAGGGGTCACCCTTCTTCCCCGTGTCGACTATTATGAAAACTGTAAATAAATACTGATGTAAGCTCCATTCAGACTCTGTGGTTGTTTTATTGTTTTAGAGTTCTCAGCCATTTTGCTTTTATTCTTCTTCTTCCCCCCCCCCAGAGTTGTACAAGATATTCTTTTTACAAAAAAAAGCCACTTGGGCCTGGGCAGACAGTGCGCCAGTTAGAGTAGCAGGTAGGAGGCCAATGAAAACTCTGGACAGGTGTCAAGATTGACCACTCAGGTGGCAGAATGTGATGAAAGGACAATCTTTTTTTTCTTCCACCTTAAAAATCTGGCCTTTATAGAAAAAAATCCCATTACAAGGAAAAGCCTTAAGTTTATAGTTTGTAGGAGTCATGAAGTGCATACATACTCTACAACCTAAGCTACAATTGAGTGGATTAAATCAAAGCATCTTAATATGTAGGAAGGTTCTAGTCAAAGTCGAGAAATGAAGTGACTTAGGAACCCTTGGCAAGAGCTAAGATTTCAGGGAACAGATTCTCCCCATAAAGCAGGCCCATGCTTGAGGTGCTTTACAAAAAAAACAGTTGAAATTTGTGTAATTTTGTACTACAAATCAAAATAAAATTGAATATAAGCTTGTCTAGTTTCAGACATTGACGAAAAATGTTTTGAGGGATAATAACAAGGGCGCTACCAGTCACTTTGACACAAAGTCATTTTAAAAATATCAAATTTTAATATCTTTTCAGAAAGATTTAGTTTGTTTTTCTTCTTTTACAGGATCCACTGCCTAAGAAAATGAAACGCGGCTAACACTTAAACACAATGTAGTGAGACAGCAAGAAAACAGACCAGAAAATAGATAAGACGATAAGAAACAGCAAAGCAAAGCTTCCCTATTTTAATGGCTGATAAGAGTCAGAATCACAGTCTGAGACTTTAAATGAGAATCTGCCTGAAAACTCCAAAGCTTTCAAATTTTAACAAAGTTTCAGAAAGGGATTAAATGAGCCACATATCTTTGCACTTCACCCTAACTTTAGAAACCTGAAGGAGGAATACTGCGCTGCCATCTGAGAGACTCTTAAGGACACTTCGATTGCTTGGCAAGTTTCAAAGCCACCACTCACCCGCTCAACAGACACCTCAGCAGAGAAACGCCGCCACTATTTTAAGACGACAAACACTGAGTGCTTTTACCTCAGTTTATGTCAAACAAATCTCCAGCTATTCCGCTAATGGATGTGAAACCATGACAACACAAGAGCAATCAGAACAAAGTAAAGCCATTTAAGTTTGCTTAGACGACAGGCCATAAGTGGAGGATTTCTGCAGAAAATGCTCTTCTAAAAAAAGAAGACGTTTGGAAGCAGACGCTTGCTTTGCCACAACATAAAAGCATGTTGAAATACAAAAAGCTCCTAACACACAGATCAATTGTGACAGCTGAAGGCCTCCCCTGATAAAGGAAACCGATCAATTGTCTTATGATTTATCAAATAAACAACTTTGCTCCGTTTAAAAAAATAAATAATAAAAAAAAAATCTAAATAATTTTCTTTTTGTCGGTTCTCTGATATGTATTTGCTTTATTCATAGCTATAGCCATGCTTACATTTCTTCAAAATCTCTTAATCAGACTGAAATGTGTTCCGTTTCAAAAAAATCTAATAATACCAATTATGTCCATGTGAACATGCCTTAGCTATGGATGCAAAAAAGGCTATTAGCTTCAGAAACAATGGCTTCTTACGTGCCATTAGGCTGGCAGGAAAAAGTATTTCTTTCAGTTACCTTCTTCTACTCATCAGTTAGTAATAAATAGCTTTTAATTTAACCACAGAGTATAAATTCATCTAGGGGGCTTATGTCTAAAATCAACTACTCGACCACTTTTTGGTCTCTGTGGTTGTAGCTAAAGTAAATGATAACATTTACTTTCCTTATTAAGGCAAGGTCACAAACGTTGCGTATGACTGTTTTTTTTTTCTCCGATATGATTTTTTCCATGTCACACTGACTGCGTACAGAGAGGCTCCGACTAGGCAGGGTGAGCAGATCTGTGCAGATTTTTTTTCACTTCTGTCTCTGTGCTACAAAAATAAAATAAAAAACATTTCCCACAATTGCCTCCGAAAGATTATAAAAAGTTCTTAAAAATGAAATTTAAAAGATACTGCTTAGCATAAAAATATAAATAAAGCAAAGCCACCCCTAAATGATTTTGCGTGGCATCTCAAACCAGAACAGATAGCGAATAATAATATGCCTCTATTAAAAACATAATGTCATCTATGTCTAAATAAGGAAAACTCAGCAATACAGGATGTTGGATGGTTTATATGCTGACTGAGGCAGTGAGAGGTGATTCTCAGAGAGAGATAAAGAATGATGAGATTTACTTACCTGCTCTGTCTGCCCCGTGTTTTGGTTTTTGTGAGGCTCAAGGAGGATCACTATTTTAAAATATCTGTTTTCTATCCTCCTGAAGTTTCTCTTTTCTTTTTCGTGAATATTGATGAACTGCGCTTTCTTTCCCTCGCTGTTTTTGCGAGGCTCAAAGAGGATCACTATTCTATACGTTCTCTGTCCTCCTGAAATCCTATCATGGGTAAAGTGCTCCTTTTAATGTTTCATTTATTTTTTATACATGAGTCTGTCCCACCTGCCTTATTTGGATTTGCAATTCCAATCCTGACTTTTTTTCTCTTGCGATTGACAGATTTTATTTTGCCTTTCCCCAAAAGCGGCTGTGTGTTACTTTTTAACAGCGTGTCTGTTCCTGTCTAACCCATGAAACTGCAGCTAAATTACTGCATAGTGTGACTAAGAGCTACGCCAGCTCTCTTGCAGAAAATCGTGTCGGGTGTGATCATCCCCATTGTCCCCTAATGACCACGAATAGCCATGGCCTCGTAAGGAGCGATTTTCTGTCGACTAGAACGAAAAATCGGACTCAGTGTGTTCAGCGCTTAAACTATTTTGCTAGCTTTGTAGAACCCTGAAAACACCAAATCTGATTTTGCGTACTACAGCTAAATTTATTTTTTTTATTTTTTCCTACTTGCTTTGATTCTTTTATTTTCCTGTATTTTAATCATGTAAAGCACTTTGCATTGACTTTGTACTGAATTGTGCTATACAAATACATTTGCCTTGCCTTGCCTTGCCTTGCCTAAAGAAATTCAACATGACTTGAGAATGTTTGAAACTTAAATAGTTAATTTAACCTTAAGGAAACAGTTTTATAGCCCACTCTAATGAAGAGCCATTACGTATTGCCTGGACTCTGATTTGTCAGTAAAAAAAAGGCAATATTTGTCGAAAAAACTCTCTGTGGAAAAAACAATTTAACCTTTGTAACAGAAACAATACATGTTTAAATTCAAGTAAGTAAAAAAAAAAACTTTGAATAACAGTAATCATTGTACCACTGCTGTACATTTCCCCTGTTCTTGGGGTTTTAGATGTATTTATATAGAAGGCCCAACCCAACGCATACATTACTGCACACACTGAACACACTCACGTTAAAAAAAGAACAAAGAAAGAGGGAACAAATATCCAAGATTGAAACATCTCTCCGAATTCACCCAAGCAAAGAGAAAGGAAGGGAAACACAAAAGGTTTTTTTAGAACAACCTTCCTTGTCCTTCATGCCAAGAGAGACTAATTCCTCAAGACAAATATCCACAGCAAACAGCATTTCTGTGTTGCCCAACACCAGCAGACACAAATGAATTTGAGACAGCACTCCTGGGCTCCCTAAATTTGTTACTCGCTAAACTGATCAGAGATTTTTCTCAATGTGACACAACAGGGGGAATAATTCATACATCAAGAACCGGCATCTAGCTGAAAGGCAATGTCGACCTTCAGGTGAAAGAGATCCCCAGTACGCTTACTGCTAGGTAGTCAAAGCCTATTTTCTCCTTCATATGTGTCTACTTTTTAATCTGATTTGGACCACTGGTCTTTGTTATTTTTGTTTGTTTGCCTTTTCTTAATTGTTTAGGTGGATCATTTTTGCGTAAACCTTGAATAAGACGAGTTTCTTTGAAAACTCTTCATGGTTCTTGTCAGCTCCTTTAGACACACTGAAAGTTGTCACAGCTAGACTAAATTTACGATGATACGCTAATTTATAAGAGCGCATTGGCTTTTTGACCAACATCTGGGCTCCCTCTCCTAGGGTTCTATCCCATTATTTTAGTACTCTCTGCAAATTGTTAAACAGAAGAAAGAGCAGGTAAGAAAGATCCCCCCGATTTTCCTAGCTCCCATTAAACCCCAGCCACCAATCCTTAACGCAACATTACTTAGAAGCATCAAACAGTAAAGAGACCAGCTAAAGCGCAGTCAGGAGGGACAGCAGCAGTTAGGTGCGAGTTTAAGCAAAAGTAATTGGCCATTAAGAGCCAAAGCAGATTCCATAGTCAATTACAGGAAACAAATACGATTTTCCCTGTGATTCAAACACCTTCGACTTTAAGCCATTTGCTTTCCCGTAACCTCTCTTCTCTCCATAATGAATATCGAACAATTACAGAAGCCAATCTAGGGAAACTTATTGTCTGTTGCCCTGACGTTAGACTATAGACCTCCGGGAAACTCACCTACATTTAATTTGCCTGGAGAAACTTACCCACACAGTCTGAAGTCTGCCACTCCAAACACTGGCCATAGGGGAATGAGATGACATATGCATTTGAGTCCACACAGCGCTGCGTGCTGCCACACCACATGCACTCCGTGCCCTGGCTGGTGCAGTTGGCACAGTTTGTGTGCAGAGAGCAAGGCTTCTTGCATGACGTACGGCTGCTATGATTGGGGTTCCCTACAAACAAAAAAAAAGGAATGGGACTTTAAGAAAACCTTCTATAGGTAAAAGCATGCTTAATTTCATAATATCCAACAATCTGTGTGTTATTTGTGGCTTACCAGTAGCTTTTTCACAAATGAGGCCATGAGCAGTTGCAGTGCAAGGATTGGCCCGAAGTCCTGAGACCTGAGGCTCCTCCAAGTAGGCACAAAAACCAGAGTCACTGGGCTCTCCAGGCAGCCAGCGCAAGCTGCTATTGGTGAAGGGAGACATGTCCTCCCAACCCCAGTATGACACATTGATTTTCCTCAGGCCCACCCAGGGAGACAGTCGCTGTGGTAACAAAGCTGAAGTCAGTGGAAGTCTGAACAAAAATATCCTAAATGCTGTTCAGTCACGCTATTATAAAAAATAAATAAATAAAAATAATTGCTCCATTTCCACCTGGGAAGAAAAGATGCCATTAAATATCTGCCAAACATAATTTCACAGATATGTTTACTTATTTAACTCCACGACTCAGCTTTTAATGTAATGGGAAAATAATGTGGAACAGTACATCAAGGTACTGCTTGGAACAAACAACAAAGTTCTAAACTAGGCAGACAAACAGCTAATTATAGCCTCATGAGAACAGCATGCATGACCAACTCTGCAGAGCAGCTTTGCAATTGTTCTGAAGCTATAGGAGGAAAATGTAGCTATGAGGTCAGGAAAAGAGGAGCAACTGCCCAACATTTTCACTAAGTAGCTTTAGCATTTAGACCATCAATAAAAATAATATTCATCATCTCTCTTCATTAATACAGAAAAATAGGAATAATCCTAGATTTCTTTTTAATAATTCAGCAGCTCACCCAGAGCCATAACTCTGTTGAACTGTCTATCCCATCTTCATCTTAGCAGTGATGATTTTTGTGGAATACTTTATAAAAAAGATTAATTCCATTAAAAATGAGATTAGCACTACTCTAAATATGATTGGTTTATCTCTGGAAGGTGAGGCAGAATCTGAGGTGTTATTTTTGATCAGGACCTGTCATTTAAATCCCATATCAAAGAGGTTTAGATGTTAGCGGGTTAAGTTTTGTCAATATCTCCCTTTTGTCTCATCTTTCTTTAAACTTGTCTTTTTTTTTTTGTAAAGTTGCCATAACATAATTTATTCCCTACATAAACCATAATAAAACTATTTAGATATTTAATTATAGCAGAGCACTGTGGTGAAAGCGATAATACTCCACTTGTGAAAGTAAAATCTGTTGGGCTCTTTCTGGCATTAAGACAACAACTCCTATTGCCACATTGACAGATAGGACACAAAAAAAAAGCCTGATCCGGCGGGGGAGAATTTCAGTCTACATTTCTTGTAGGCTCTACTTTTCTGATATTTCATCCAAAATAGGCAAGTTATCCTGAGCTTGTTTTCTGTATTTGTGCTGCTATATGTTTGGCCTGCTGGATCACATAGAGACCACTTCTTCTTGTTCTATCTCTATTTTGCAGTATTTTTTATGTTCCACTTTCAACCAATATGACTGCATTGTCTCTGTAAAGTGCCTAGAGATGACATGTGTTGAGAGTTGGCACTATATAATTTGAATTGATTTTTTTTTTTTTTATTAAATGGGGGAGACGGCGTATTAAGATTTATCATTGAAACTTTTGCTCTCTAATGCATGTTAGTTTAGAGCAGGCATCCCCAAACTTGGTCCTCAAGGCCCCCTGTCCAGCAGGTTTTAGAGGTTTCTCTGCTTCAGCACAGCTGGTTATAATGATTGCAGTAGACCAAAAGCCTGTTAACCAGCTTTCAATTAAAATCAGCTGTGCTGGAGCAAGGAAACCTCTAAAACCTGCAGGACAGGGCCTTGTCGGCCTTGAGGACCGACTTTGGGCATGCCTGGTTTAGAGTAAACAGATGAATGCAATTTGTTCTGGGAGCTAAAAATAATTCTTTTAATTCAATTAGTGTTTTTCCAGGGTACAATTGATTGGAAAACATCCATTCATTGAAGATTTCATCATTTTATAGCTCTAAAATCCACATGCAGCCTTAAGCCTGATACAGCCACTAGCATGCTTAAATGCAAATTGATTATGTCATCTATACCAGCTGCCAAGCATGGTGTTGGCAGCATCATGCTGACTATTTTAATGAAGGAGTAATGACTAACAAATCCTTCTTTTAAAAAAAGCACCTAATTAATTGATTCTTACAGTCTAACATTCAGCACCTGGAATTGATTTTCACTCAAATGTAAATTAGTAGACTATGATACAAACCTCATTAGCTACTGCAAAAGCATGAGGTTGAGTATCAACCTGCTAATGGACATTTAACTAAATGTTTGTAGTGTTTAATATAATTCTGTTTGAATAATTGTGAACATGTTTGGAGGGTTGGTTGGATGAAGCTAAGCAAACATTTCACACTGTAAAGTTTTACCTGTTCTTGCTGCTGAAGCTTTTTTAGCTCCTCAAGCACAAAATCCACTTGCTTTGAGGTGGTGAGCGAAGCAATGTTCCCATTGAGGTTCTTGCAGTAGTGCTGGGCATTATCATAGCTCTCCCGGCTGGAGTTGATCCTTAGACAGGCGTCGCCCACCTGGCTCCAACCTTCACTGCACTGCTGGGCTATAAGAAGGGAATATAGGCAATAATATAATTCAAAACGATGTTTTAACTACAGTCAAAGGTAAACATTTTTCAATTTTAAGCATTTAAGTTAGAAAACACTTAACATGTAAAATCTAAATGTGTTGTTTTGGTATATATTTAATTTTCTAATTTGCATCTGCTGGTCTTAGGCTTTGCGTGTCTATGTGATCACCAAGTCCTTTTCATGCATGACAAATCCAGAGTCACACACAGACATAAAAAAGATATTATTTGGAGCTACCACTGCAATCCCCCTCAGGCGACAGCTCCTCATGAGCTGAAAATTACGGATAAAGTGACAGCACCATTTCTTTAGATTTTGTCGACGTCAACAACGGGGCCGGGTGGGAGGAAGTAGCTGAGAGGTAAACTAAATGCACTGGCAAAGCTGATAAACAACATCAGGATGACAGATTAAAAAAAAAAAAACATGTTTACAAAAACCTCAGAAAAAAAAACAAAAAACAAACACCCTCTGCTGTGTTTAAAACACATACTCCGCACTAAACTTTATATAATCTGATGACGTAGACCGAACCCTGATGGGTAAATTCATGGAGTATATAGCTTAATAATGCCTCTAACAGTGAGCATCATCAGATCCATTTGTAATTTCCAGGAAAGGCCAACATCCTTGACTCAAATAACAAAAAACATCTGATCAGCATCCCATGCATGCATTAGTGTTCATGCTCCACTTTTCGGGCTCACCAGGCAGCGAGTGGCACTGTGAGTGATTCTGCTCCCACTGACAGTTGAGATTCAGGGAGCAGCTCTTGCAGTTGGCGAGCTTGCTGCACACCTGCTCGGTGCGCACCGGGCACTCGGTGAAGTTCTTCACACCCTGGAAGCAGTGCAAAGAGGGGAAGGGTGATGAGAAGAGTGGCTGTAATTTCAAGATAAAATGAGGAAGTCTGCATCTGTTTGGGGAAATCAACCCCTTCAGAAGCAGCATCCAGCTTGGGTCATCATGTAGTAAACTGGACAGGACAACAGCTTGGTAAAAGGTTATAAATATTCAAAACTACCTCACTAACTAAAGAAAATCTAATTTCTATGCGTTTCAGCAAGATACATTAACAGTGCTCTGCTGCCCCCTGTTGAAACACTCACAGAGGTGCAGTTGCTGGAGGCAGAGATACATTTCTTGTCATCACACCACTGGCAGCCTTTGGTGTTTGCTGTGCAGCTGCCACAGTCTGAGAACCTATAGCACCACTCGTCCGCCGCCACTGAAAATAGAGCACATTGAATATTTTCTTTTAGAGTTTGACTGAAATAAATAAAAATGGTGTAAAAATAAAGGTACAAAGATATTTCGTTATTCTGTTCCTTACCTGTTTTAGAGGAGCAGTAAGGTACGGAAAGAGAGCTGCCATTAAGCACGCCTAGTTCCCAGGGGACACAGCGGCCCCTGCTCCAGATGCAGCGGACCCCAGGCCCTGCCCTTACACACCCCTCCTCTGCCAAGAAGGCCTGGCAGCTGGGAGGTCGGTATACGAGCACATCATTCAGCAAGACGCTGGAAAAGCCCCCGAACACATACATAGACCTGACAGAAAAGAAGTGCCTCATTAGAACCAAGGTTAACGGCCTGAAACTGCAAAGGACACGACAGATTTATGAAATAGAACATTTCAATCACATCTAATATTACTTTAAATAACTTCTAACTTAGACCCAAGCAGGTTTAAAATCTGCATTTTAGTCAAACTTTGTTGCCATGTTTATTGGAGAAACTGTTTAACAGGCTTCTGTTAATACTTCTTACAGCTTTGGACTTGAGATTTGTTGGGCTCAAATAGAAACAAAAGTTCCTCTTCTGAGCAGAAATGTAACATGCAAAATAAGAAAAGAATGGATGTCCACAAGCATAAGAGGTTGGATGGATAAATATCAGGTAGATACAAGGATGTAGGTTTGATTTCAACTTTGGTAGGGATACTATTGGTCTGATGTCATTGGTCCTATGCGAAAAAATATGCATGCTTGTTTTTTTTTATGCTTGACGTGAAAATCAAGGTGCATTTTGTTTAAAGAGAAAAGCAGCATTTCTTGTTACATATGTACAAATTTTATAAACGCTACACACCCTAGATGCTGTTTATCAATGTTTGAAGCATGACCGGCTGAATGACGAATTATGACTTTTTTCCACTTTAAAAAGGTTTGCATTTGAAATTACCAGCGACTGAGACAGAAAGTAAATCTGTGCCTATTTAGCAAAATATAGTCTAAATATTTTTGTCATGTGAGGATTTATCCTGTTTTTTCTTTTGAAGATATAGAATTGTGCAGAGGTAAACCCCAATCTTATCTTTCAAATATTCTCTCTGTATCATGAAACATCATCATGGATAGAACAACAGTTGGATGGACAGCTGGTTCTCATCCATCCATTTTCCATCACGTATATGCCAGCTGGATCACGAGGGGTGCTGGTGCCCATCCCCAGCTCTATCGAAGGGCAATATAGGCTAAAGACACAGTTGCTTAGGGCGCAATCTGCTAAGAAGGGCGCTTTTGCACTCTGCAAAAACTCAAGGAAGAATGCAAATAAATCAAGTGAAATAAATAATAGCATTAATGTGCAATCAAGACTGGCACCTGTTTCTGTTGCTATAGATTAAACATGGGTTGTTCTCCATTCTAACAAACCTCTTACTGCTGTCAATTAAATGTGCAGAGAAAGAATACTGAACTTATCCAAAAATGCAACACAATCAGTTGGTCCAACTTAAGATGAAGAAATGTTTAAATGAAATTGCAGCATTTAGGCTGATTGCTCACCTTAATGTTAGCAAATTGCTGTTCCAAGCTGATGTTAGCATAATATCTGAAACTTCTAACAGATCTGTTTCACTATTTGGGTTTTCTTTAAGGCAAAGTGATAGTTTATAAAGAGTTACCCACTAAATAGCTGTTAGATTGTTTTTCATGTATGAAGGCCCTATTAAAGCTGTGACAACCTAAATAGATTTTCTATTTCTATTTCACTGGACCTTGTTTCATCTTTTTTTATGTTCTTGATTGCTTTTACTAATTGTCAGTGTCTGTATTTTTGCGCTGTCTGGTGACGCAAAGACAATTTTCCACCCTGGCGGCCAATAAAGATCAATTCTACTCTATTCCATTCTTTTCTATTCATGAAACAATCTTACCGTGTTTCACATTCTGAGCATAAACAGAAGGAAGTCTTGAACTGAATAGTAAATAATCCTTTTTTTTAACCAATCCTTCAGACAATAGTTGGTAAATTAGATTATTAAACTTATTTTTCTATTTATTGAATGTAGGTCATGCTGTAGACCTAACTTTGTTTTATGTAGAGGTCCTGATTTTCTTAGGCTAATTTAAACTCATCTAAGGAGAAAAAACAGTCAAACCAACCAACTGACCTGCACAGGACAGGACAGATGGAAAAGGCTTTTTTCCAGAATGTTTTGGAACCCTGTACCTCTCACTTAAGAAACTAACCAGTTTAAATTAAATGGAGAAATTATTTTTATTTCAAATACCTACCCATTGCTAACAACAGCCGAGTGGCCAAAGCGGTTGACGTCCCTGTGCAGGTCTGGTTTTGGCAGGAGTGTCCACTCGTCACAAGCTGAGGAACAAATTTTCTTTGTCAATATCCAACAAATAAAAAGCATGGTCATGTATTCAACTACAATTTTTCATTCTCTTTAATAAACAGCTCAAAATTAAATCGAGTAAAAAGTTAACACAACTCTTAGCATCACTTTTACAGAAAAAAAAACATTTCTTTTAGTTGCTGTATGTTTGAACATGAGACTTACCGATATCATATGCCAGGAAGTCAGCAGAGAAGCATTTGGCACCGTTGCTGAGTGACGTGTCATTATGCGTGTTTCCACCAAAGACAAGCAGAGTGCCGCTGAGAAGCACCGCGGAGTGCAGGTACCGTGGAAAGCCGCTTTCTCTTAGAATGAACCTGTGAAATGTGAAAGACAAGTGTGTATCGCGGACAGCTGTAGCAAGAAAGCGTGTGACACAAAGCGTCACACACCATCTGTAAAGGATAATGAACGACGAAAGCGGTACACGATTATCTTGATTTACCATGTCCTTGTGTTCACGTCGTAGCGGTAGAGGTCATCCACAAGGCCATATTTGCCGGCTGGCAGAGCTTTAAAGCCTCCATGGACATAGATGCTGCTGCTGGAGCCGTCATAAGTGCTGCTGTGGCCATAACCTCCCTGTGGAATGGCCCCTTTAGTCTCAGGTACCAACCACACTTTGGATCCTAAATGGAAAACATATTAGGAAAGCTTAAAATAAAAGAAATCTCTCGCTGTTGAATCAAATTTCCTCCACTTAATAACTGAATTTACAAAAGATTTAAATATTCATCGGGAATTCATTCTACAGTCACAAAGATAGGCTTTTATTAAGGGAATCAGAAAAATTTAAAAGTTTTAATGTTTTAAACTTTTCTACATTTCATCAACTTAAAGTAAAATCTACAATGATTAGGATTTTTTGTGAAACACCAACAGAAACACAATAGTATAGAGAGAGAAAACAAAATGCATCTGTCGCGTACAATCATTTTTAGCCGGCTTACACCAATAAGAAAAAAGGAAGATCAATTTAGATTTATAAAGGAGTGACAAGAAAACTTAAAAATAAAAAATAAAAAATAAAGGTCACTTTTCAGAAAACATGCAAAAAAGCTGGTGTGGTGGAAAACCAACAATAAACATAACAAAACATCCTTCCTTCTCTCTTCTCTTAAAACTTGGTAGCGGCAGCATCATGCTGTGGGGATTCTAGTTAGAGTAAGAGGGAATCTATATGCAGCTAATTACAGAAAAAAAAATCCGGATACCAGTCCCTGTTAAGACACTGCAAAGGGCTTGATGTTAACCTTCCAGAAGGACGACAGAGTCAGATTTAAAAGGAAATAACCAGGTCAAAGGTTACAACTGAAAATATTTGAAAATCCTTGGCAAGGATGTTCCCAGACATCCTCCATTCAAACAGAATAAGCTTGACCTTCTACATCATGTCCAAAAACTATCAGATAAAAAACACCGGACAATATCATCTAAGGCCTAATAGGTAATAGTCTCAGGCTATCAATACATGTCGAAGTTAGGATGGAAAAAAATAAACATCAAGCCCTTTTTCTCCTTACACTGATAATCAACTTGAATAAAACATTTTAGACTCAGCCTATGTATTCCCCGGGCCGTTCACACCGTGCCACCATTTCTAGATCTCACCCTCAATTAAAACTTAAGTGCCTTGGCGTCATCCTTGGCCCACACCACTCATTACCTTCTCTTTACGAGCTGGCAGGCCTGGACAGCATTTTAACTCTGATCTTTTTTTTTATGGGTTCCAAATAACGATCACTTTGTTGATCGATTAATCTGTCAATTTTTTTTTTTTGATTTATTGATTATTTTTCTTTTTTTTACAGAATTAAAAGCAGGTGAAAGTTTTTTTTTTATCTTAAATTTAAAAAGCTTATATATTTTTTCCATATTTTTGGTATAATTAATGTTCAGAGTGGGTTGCTCTGTCGGTTAAGACATTTTTTTAGTCTGTATACTCCGTTAATCCATTAATCGAATACTCAAATCAGTTTACGATTATTTCAATAATTGATTAATCACAATTGTTTTATTCCTAATCTGTTTACTGGTTATTCCTTTTTTAATTCTTAAACTGTTTCCTATATTATGACTTTTCCTTTTTTCATTTAGTACCATGTTTATCCAGAGGGTGATCTTGAAAGATGCTTGTAAATAAAATGGATTATATTACAGAAGTCATCAGGGAATTAATTTAAACACCAATTTTGTCTTTAACATGATCTGTTGAACTTTATCTAGCTTTTGCTAGTTTGACACAATTTATAATTTTATTATAGCATAGCTAATTTTCTGTGGCATATTATTCCCATGCCTGGAAGGTTAAGCTTTTTGCAGCCCGACTCGAAAATCTTTCTACTCTGTTTTGCTCCCTTCATGTTTTTAATAAACCTAATGACCAATCATGGTTATCAGCAAAGTCACTGGAGGGGAGAGAAACACTGATGACAGTGGCAAGTACTCAGATGATTTGGTTACAGATGGAAATAACACTCATTACTTTAACTCCAAGAGGAACAATCAGTGACCAGTCTTTACAGATATTGGCCCGCTGCCCATTCTGACCTGCATATATCCAAGGAAAACCTTTGTCTACCACTACTTTGATTCTTTCCATCTCTGCCAAGTTTGTGATGTTTTTTTCCAAAAGTTAAAATAATGGAACGCTGGCATACCCACTGACGGATGTTTGCTTAGGAAAAACCTGCCCTACCCTATTTCTGATTGGCTAATATTATGTCTCTGCCTGGTTTTATCCGTTGAGGGTTTTCTTAGTAAAATACCTTGAATAAAAATTTTAAATGAAAAGGCTACAGAAATCATTGGGATCTCAGGCGTAGCCTACTGCAAATTGCAGCAGCGAATTTTGATGTTTCAGACTTGCACCAGAAATGACAGGTGGGACGTGTTTACTGAAATGTAGGTCATTGTTGGATGTTTATGGAGAAGTCATCATGTCAACATGCAACGATTTTTGTAGAATTTGCAAGACAAATCTGTAAATAAAAGGCGTTTTAAGCAACACAAAGTTGATTTTTTGAACATCGTCAACCCTATAACGAAAAAACTTTTCCAATGATTCTGGGTTACCAAACACCAGCTGGTAATTGCCATTCAGGACTTAGCCATCATATTCACCCAGCTTCATAGCAGAAATAACCAGCTTCAGGAACTTTGTCGTCCATGAGAGCCACCAACGGAGACACGATGATCACAATAGGATTTGGCTGCAGCTTCTTCAGTGTTTTCACAACTGGCAGAGTAAGCTGATAAATCAAATTTTCAAATTTGAAAAGCACAGATATCTTTCCCATCTGCAAATTTACAAAGTGTCTCTCTTTGCTCCTTTTTTGAACGAGAAATTTTCACTATTTTAGCTAAAACCGAGTCAGTTGCAGTATCGACAGGTGAGTCCTCCACCATGTTTGTAATGCCCCAGCAAGGCCCTTCTGACTGTTGTCATTCCTACATGTCCCGCCCCAAAAAAACACTGCTGGCATGTCATTGGTCCAACTCGTTGGTTGTTAACAGGCTTTCAAGATGGATTTTTTTGTGAGACTAAGATCTCGCGACAATCCAGCTTGCAGCGCCAGGTTAATTATACCCTGCTGGTATGAGTTTTCATGGACTCAATGAAGAGGAAAACTGAAACTTGTAAATTTCATATTTTTAAGAAGGTAATATAATCCACTTCTTTATTGCTTAATTAATCTGAAATCTGACTTAACCAAGGAGCTGCAACTTACTCAGATTGTACTCCTGAACGTTGTTGATGTAGCTGTAGATGGGGGAGTAACCAAAGATGACCAGCATGATGGTCTCGCCACTGTTCAGCTGGACGCAGTGGGCCGTGTGGCCCTCCACAGCGTAAACCTGAGCTTGGGCCGACGAGCCCACAACGGGGCTTCTGCGTTGCCACGTCCGACTCTGTACGTTGAACACCCACAGCTCATCTGTAACGTTGCCCCCGCTGGGTTCAAGCTTCCCACCAAACATGTAGATTTCATCCTGAAAAGCATAGAGCTTAGATTAGCCTGAATATTGAGATACAGAATGCATTTAAAAGGGAGGAAGGGAGGGTTTAAGCCTGTTAACAAAAGTTTAACAAATCAGATTATATTTTAATCTCGGGCTCCCATGATACATTTTTTTTTTCTCTTATAAAGTAAGAAAAATCCAAAAGATAGTGAATACAGCTTTTTAAGTCTAAAAAAACAGATTTTAGTGCAGCAACTATTACTGCTTCCTAGATGCACTTTATAAATGTAATCAAACTGTGCTGCTAGTCAGCGTTTTGATCTACCCCAACATGCATCAGAGCAAGCGACACCTGTAGGTACCTGGTAGGCTGCAAGCGAGTGTCCGTATCTTGGCACGGGGCCCCCACTGATGGGTACTGTGTTCCAAACGCCACTCTCAAGGTTGTAGCTGCAAAGAGAGGCACATTACATTTCAGCTAAAACCCCCAACATGCATCATAAAATCTAATTTCAGACGCTTGAAATAAAAGAAAACATTAAATGACACATGCAACTTTTTTCCTCTGTGGTAAGAGATAGACTTGCAACAGCCAAGAGACCTAAATATATCTGTGGTTATCAGAAAACTAGCAGAATTGCTGTGAATCTCTGCACAAAGTAACCCATCTAATTGTCTGAGACAACAGTACAACTACGGTAATATAATCTTTACTTGTGTTTGTTAGTGTCTGATCGTTTTCTTAGGCTGCATTAAGTTTCAAACAAACAGTTTCAAACACACACATCTCTACGAAATCAAACGGACTTGAACATATCACACGGCGTCAGCAAGATACTATAGCAGTCGTGGCGTGCTACAGCACTATGGCATCTGTTGCAAATGGCAGAGACACAACACTCCAGTAAATGGTGGGCAGGGGCTCATGTCAGGGAGAAAAATAAAAACAATAACTGGACGTTGGTTTTGGCATCATTCATGGCCTGACATTTCATATTATAACTGAATCATTTTGGCTAAAATGGACAAAAATCATAAAAGTGTGAAACAGATGTGCCTTTCACACCTGTTGCAGTACACTGCTGGTCAGCTGGCTGATAGAAGGCTACTATTGTTTTGCCTAACTTACAAAAAACTTACATGTTTGAAAATACTGAAAAAAAATGACTGGACCAATAAAAAATAATATCTACATCTAAGCTTCTGCAAGGTAAGTTTATTTGTTGATTATAATTCAGTCCAAGGACAATTCAAAGTGCTTTATATAAAAATAGAAGAAAAATAAAAGCAGAAAAATAATAACTAATAAAGATAAAACATGATAGAAGCAGAAAGAAAAACAAAACAGTTTGACCACAACCTTCATAGTCAAAGGCAGCTCTAAACAAATGGGTTTTTAACTTTGACTTAAAAGAACTCAGGCTTTCAGCACTATTACAGTCTTCTGGGAGTTTGAAACCACTGTTGCAGTAATAAATTCTACTAGAGATAATGAGTTTTGAATGAGTTTTTTCTAGTTTCTGTTGGGAAATTAGTCCTTTAAACTTGAAAATGTTCTTCAGCTCATAAAAGGCTTATTTAGTAACGGCTTTTATGAGTCACTGAAGGTTCAGGTCTATCATGACAACAAGATTTAAGCGGTAATCGGTGGTTCTAAGCATCTAGCCAACCCTCTGATGGGTTCATAGTCACCTGGTGTCAATGTGATGTCGAGCTGTGTATGGTCTGCATTTCTTTAGTAACAATCTGAGCTAAAGGGATCATGCAGACATTGAACAGGAGGGGCCCCAGAATGGAACCTTGAGGAAACCCACATGTGATTTTTCTGTTCTCTGATTGAAAGTTTCCTACTGACACATAAAAGTACCTGTCATTTAGGTTGGATTTAAACCAGTCCAGTGCTGTACTAGAAAGGCGGACCCAGTTTTCCAGATCCTCTAATAAAATCAAGTGATCAACAGTATGAAAAGCTGCACAAAGGTCCAATAATACCAGAGCTGTGGTTCTTCCAGTTTAAAATTAAGAGTCTTAGGCATAAATATTGTCAATCTAAAATGTCCAAAAACATATCTTCATGTGTTTTTCAGAGTTCTTTTTTTAATCATTTTATAAATACAAAAAAAATTACTTGTGTTTTTTCTACTGATAGTTACTGTTTGTTTACTGTAAACAATCGGGTTATACTTACAGGAAACTTTTCAACATATTTGTGAAACAAATGTCCTTAAAACTGTATGTCAGGCAATATTCAATAAACTTAAATACATTTTCAAATGAGGCTTTTTTGTCAGATTAAACGTACCTATTAAAAATAACAACCCTTACTAAACACACTTTCATTACTCCCACTTTTCTGTATTAACCAGTTAGCATATCACTGCTCCAGTTTTAAGAAACTAAACAGCACTTTAGTTCAGCTACAGTAATAAGTGCACAGCATTTACAGCCCATGTGCAACAAAAATGAACATCAATGCTCTGGTAATCAAAAAAGACAGAACAGGAATATCTGGATTTATTGCACCTGGTAATGAATAAACAAATTAGCGGAACGTCATCAAGAAAACTGCTCATATGGAAATGAAGAACCACTAACAGATTGAAAGCTGTGCTTATAGATGAAACTACAAGCTGTTCATACCAGCCTTACATCTGAAACAACATCTCAGTTCTTTACAAAGCAAATTAAGCAAACTAAGGGAACAGTTTTTTGTGTTGTGGGGCTATTTTTTGTATGACTAAGCAGTCCAATGTCATTCAAAATAAAAATTAAGTAATAAACAAAACCATACATTTCACAAGAGATTATAAAAGCTGTCTGGTATGAATAACTTACTTCAGAATCATCTGGAATGAGGTGTAGTTAAACGTGTATCCACCCACCACCCACATGACCTTCTCCTGTACCACTGCTTTATGTGAAGCCCTGGCAAAGGAGGTACCAAACGGCTTGACGCTGGGCAGAATCCAGAAGGACTCGGTCGATGGTACAGTCAGCGAGCAATCTGGGCCTGCAAAGGTGAACAGAACAGAGAAGCATAAAAAATGGAGAATATATCAAAAACAACCAAAAACAATACAGTGCCTAATTGTCAGGTTGTTTTTTAAATAAATAAATATCTTTAATTATGGTCTACTTTTGTGTCCAATCCCCCTTTAAAATTATATCCCTAAATACTTCTAAATTAGGTGCAAAAAATCCCCTAGTTAGTAAATAAAGTCCCCATGAGAGGGACTGAATCTCAGTAAAAAAAAAACAGGCGTTTTATGGAGGCAAGCAAGCTTTCACAGAGAACATCTGTGAACAATCAGCATCATGAAGACAAAAGAACAGCCGGTAGGTGAGAGATACAATTATGAAAAAGCCTTCTGATGGATGGATGACATCAACACAACTGTAAAAAGCAATGGCAGCATCATGTTATGGAGATGCACTTCACAAGGAAAACAAAAATGCATCAGAGTTATCAGGAATACGATTTTAGATACAAAGGATATATACTGATTAAAAATTTTAATCCAATCCAACCACTAGTTAAAACACAAGATGTAGAATAAATATATTCATATATGTGTTCTGTTTTTTTTTCCTGATGCATATATTACTTTTTTCTTCATACACTTACTTACTACCAGGGGTTTTTTTATGTATACAAAAACAAAAAACATTTTCTATAAATCACTCTAAAAATTTTGCATATTAAAATTTTGAACTGACTAAAATTATTAGTTCATCTAATAAAAAAAAAAAAAAAAAATCTTAAACTAAAAAGTGATTTTATCCAGAAAGTGAAGCCTAAAAGTTAAGTGGCTGCCAAAGAAAACATTGGCGTGACACAACACAGCTGTTTCTGCTGTGCCTCGTAGCGCACTGCAGAGGAAGAAGCCGTATAAACAGACCTACAGGCATATGATGCCAAAACTACAGACAGAACTTTAAAAAAAAAGGGAGGGGTCAACAGTAATGGGATTATTCAAACCCTCCAAAGCTATTTTACACAGGTTGGCTTTTTGCTGACCTTCAGGAGTTTTGATTTAAATTAGACCTCTGCAGAGGTACTGTATCTAATGTCAAGCTGTTAGAGGCAGACCAGCTAAGTCTTTAAAAATGCGTGGTGAAGCCTCCATATATTAAATAAACTTGCCCGACAGGTTCAACAAATGGTGCATTACATAAAGATCGTATTCATTAATACATAAAGTCATGACCTCCGGGTTGTTTTTCTCCTCGCAACCGCAGCTCATTACCATGCTCTGAACTGGAGCTGTAAGATTTCTGTCAATAAGTGCAACAAATCAGGGTTGCTGTTATTCTGCATGTCTGAAACATCCAGATCAACTGTCCTTGGGCATCAGTGAAGCACTATAAACCTTCATTCAAGCGCCTTCTTTAATGCTCAAATGTCCATTGTGGACAAATCTGGAGGATGAGAAGTGTGGTCCATCAGTCTGAGGCATGTCCATTCAAAATAAATACTGTTGAAGTATGTAACCATTTAAAATGTAAGTCAGTGATTAAAGGGCACATTATACTTCTGCAACCGCACACATCAAATGTTGCTTGGGTGTGGTCGCGGACCAGTTTTACTGGTATGCTTCTGCACCATCGAGAATTCGAGAGAACTTTGGTGGGTGGTCACGAGAACTTTGGCGGCACTGGCGGGAGTGTTTATCCTTTAAAACAACAATGGCGCGTTTGCAAGATACCGTTAACCTTTTGTCGTAGTTGTCCATTGAAGTTGTTCCTCGGTTTTTAAAAAATGGAGCGCCCCGGCATTGAATCAAGGACGACCACACAGACATCCGGAAAGGCATACCAAGGATCAATCACAGCTGCTTTTTGTGCTACGCACTTCCGCTTGAGGTCTGCGCGGTTTTTGCGACCGCTGTAAAAGTCCAAAGTTTTTTATCCTAGTTGTTTTCTGTCCTACAGAGTGATTTTTACTACCCTTAAATAAAAGCACAACAAAAAGCATTTTTGCCAAATAACATGACTGTATTGTTGATGATTACAACCTCGGATTCTTCTCTCTGTTCATGACACAAAAAAAGATTAACTTTTAACTTTATAGTTAACTTCATTTTAAAGCTACAGTGTGTAACTTTTAGCGACATCTAGTGGTCAGACTGCAGCAACATGAACATCTCCCTTCCACCGCTTCTCCCCCCCAACAGTACGGCGAGCGTTACGGGACAAAATGTCTTCCACGACGTCCGCATCACCTACCTTCTCAAGTGATGAGGTTTGTTTACATAGATAATTTTAATACTGCCATCTATTGTTCAGTACCGTCTCAGTTCATCTCTCTCAACTTGCCGTAGTTACTTTCGAGCGTAATGGACGATCTCGCAATCGCTAGTTTGTTGGCTCTGCGCTGCCGTAGTGCAAAGATGTCTGCCTCCATGGCTGCGAGACCCGCTCCTATGTAATTATAAATAACGAATTCTAAGGCAACGCAAATATTAAGGTTAAGAGGCTGAGCTCGTAGGTGATGATAAATAACATAGTTATGTATAATATATTACATTTCTGACTGTATATCCCTGTAATTATTACAAACTGTAGCTTTAAATGTTATAATCAATACGATTTTTCTTTAGTTGAAGCAGAAATTAAACCAGTTTTATCTATTTTAAATATAAGCACTTGGATAACTTCGTATTTTTTTAAAGGTCCATTTTTTGTGACCAGGAAAAATACAATAAAATCTCCTGTATATTTTCACAAGCTGAAAAAGTTGAGAAAATCCATACCGGTCTATGCCAGCTTTTCGTGTTTTGACAAATACGTCCCGCTTCCAGATGTAATCTAACATATAACATGATCTTTTTCCCCCTCGGCTCTCACCTTGCCAGCTGTCATTGCAGACACACAGCTTCTCTCCGGTGAGGTCACAGTAGCCGTGGTCGGGGCTTCCACAGTTGTTCCTGCAGTAGGGGATGTCACAGGCCTCACCCTTCCAGTATTTGTCACATTCACAGTACACCCTGCTGGCAGCCGAGTTCCCCGGGGTGCACTTTCCATGGCCGGAACAGTTATTGGGACAAGAGTTTATCCTGAATATAAAGATCAATAGTGTTTTATTAAATCACGAGTGTGATAGAGAGAGTGCGATAGAGAAATATTCACCATATCATTAATCATTACTTTAGATTAATAAACCAGCTGCTGGTAAAAACAAGAAATTAAGTTAAAATAGACTAAAAGAGCTCTAGATTCTCTTTCCGGCTCAGGTTTACCTCAATAAACAGTTATTTCTATTACATCTGTTTCCCAAATTCTTCACATAACATACTTACGAGTAGAATATGTTGAATCCTGTCAGATTATAGGCAGCGTCGCTGAAAAAGTGTAGCAGTGCATAACCTGAAGTCGTCTCAACCTCAGGAACCGTCTCATTACCACGGATCTCTGGTACGATCAGGCCGCTGAAACATTCACAAAATGCATTCAATGTTTTTTAAATATTGCTGCATTGCAGCAGAAAATCCTTTACTCCGTGTTAAATCATTGAGACGAGAGCAGAGTTTTGCAACCTGCAGCCCCAGAGCCATAAGTGTCTGTTCATGTTTTCCACAATGGCTCTTATTAATTATAGCTAAACCTGTTAAAAAACGCTAATGTTACATGTGGATATAAATAACTTGTAGGCTTTAATGGTTAGGGGAATTTCCACAACAGAATTACACGTAAAGTACCAGAAATACTTTTATTTAGATCTATGTATTTGTTTTTTTCTTGCGTCATTTTACACAAACATCAATGTCTCTAATAAAAAAAAAGTATTCATCCTCTATTTGCAATTGTTTTATGTTGTTTTTCTTATCTATTAAAACCTTTATACATTTGCAAAATCGTGTTTTTTTTATTCAACATTTGAAACGAAACATATAGCAAAAATTCTTAATCACTTTTTTTTAATCACAATTTTTGGCTTTAAATTAGTTTTATTTAGCCTCACTGATAGTAAAAATGGGTATATAGATTGTAAAGGTTGCAAACCCCTACTATAAAAGAATAACAAGTAAGAAAAACATAATACAACTTTATCTATACACAAGGGTGAAAAAAAAACCCTGCTGATGTCTTTCTTTTATTTTTTTTACTGATTCCAAAACGCAGATGTTTGTATATCAACTGGTAAATTAGAGGTTTCTCACCTGAAAACAGCAACCAGAGAAGCATAGACAGAGTCTCCGTCATAGACGTACATGTGGTCCCAGCTGCATTCTGTTGCAAAGTGGTTGAACCTTAACCGCAGAACAGCGTTAGGACTGGAAGGAGAAAAGCATTAGAGTTCCTGTCAGATGTGTTGTTGGAATAACATTAAAAACTGAATTTTGGTGGGAACACGAAACAAATCCAAATATAATGTTCTTTTTTTTTTTATCTTAAAGAATTTTGTTATTTGATGAAACAGAAATCAGCAATTAAAGTTGATTTCTGTTAAAATGTTTAAACATGTTTAAAGTTAAAATGTTTAAACATCTTAAGGCAACATATACATATATATATATATATATATANATATATATATATATATATATATATATATATATATATATTTAATCCTACCATCACCTCTAAAAAGACACATTTAGCCATTAAAGTTCAATCTAAACCAAACATCATTGTCTTTTTCAGTGAAGTATTAAAAAAGCAAGCATGAAATAATTGTTTTAGCCTAATTATGCTCAATAGAAGTCCACAGAAACATCCTTAATCATCTTCTAACCCAACAGGACCTGGAAATAACAAGCTAGCTTTGGCAAACTGTATTTTAAGTAAAAAAAAAAAAAAAAAAAAAAGAAAAAGAATACTTTCCAACTGGTAGTTAGAGCTGGTATGAAAATTAAAGGCCTCAAAAGGTAAAGAGGTTCTTAAAACCAAACTACATTTATTTATCAAAGCTTATGAAAGAGTAGCAGTAACGTGAGGCTTGATATGTAATCTTACAGCCGCCCTTACAGGTTCTATTAAACTCTACATTATCCTGTTTAAGTTTCAAGCTTTGGTTTGCTTTAAAAAGATGCAGAACTTATGCTTCGCATATTTCTATTAAACTTTGTTCAGCACAAAAAGAGAGCTGTCTTCTTTGAAAAGCTGTATTTAACATTGATTTATGTCAGTTTTAAATGAAAAAAAGATGCCGTTTAACCTTCTGAAACCCTGAGTCATTTTCTTACATACGGGTCAATTTTTCCAATGATTTAAATGTATTAAATAATTTGACTCTACGGCTTAGAGTTAGAAAATCTGTCTGTTTTGTACCAAACTTAGAGGTGCTTTATCCACCAATTTAGCCAAACAAGAATTTATGTGACACCAACTTCACTTCCTAATTGATATAAAAGATGTATGAACACATCTCCGACAAATGCAGGATAATTTACAGCAATATGAAGGATAAAGGGTGGGTTATACTTCTGCAACCGCACATCAAATGTTGCTTGCTTCTGGTCACGAGCCAGATTTGCCTATTCGAGAACTCGAGGGGAACTTCGGAGGATGGTCATGAGAACTTCTTCGGCGTCGCCGGTGGGAGAGTTTATTTTCCAAAACAACAAGTCTGAGGCATCATACTAGTGGTTGTACTTCCGAACCTCCTTGATTAACCTTTCGCCGTGGTTATCCATTGTTGTTATTACTCCTCGGTTTTTAAAAATGGCGTGCCCCGGCACTGAATCGAGAAGGACGACCACACAGACAGCTGGAAAGTGCCTTTCCAGCTGGAAAGGCACTTTCCAGCTGTCTGTGTCCAACGCGTATTCATGATTTTTTTTTAGGTCCGCGACGGCGGTTGCAAAACCTCTGCGCAGGGGGGCATGGTCTCACACAGAGACGGATTTGACGGTTGCAGGGGCCATGCGTCACAAGCATAAATTGGCCTTAACGTTACCTGAGGCCACTAATGACGCATTTTGTCAGTAAAGTTATTTCAAAGCATCGACGGACACGAGTCCGTACTCGTGTTCTTCTGAATTGAGAAACAGCTTAGGTCTAAACTATGATTAATAATGTTTTTTTAAAACTTAGTTCATCTCGTCTTATAAATGTATATTTTTTGTAAACATATCAGAACCACAAAGTAGTGAGATCTACTACTTAAATCTAAATTACTTTTAAAATACTTAACCATCATGAAATATAAACTAACATGATGTTTAAGAACATAAGTGCTATAGATATTGGTAAAAATGGGCATATCGTCCTGAACCAAAAACTAACTCTACGAATTTATAACAGTCGAAGCAGATATTAAATAAATCTTACATTTTGCTGCAATTTTTCAGCTATAGTGCAACAAATGAATAAAGTACTTACTAGGCCTCAATTAGCCAGGTGCACTTGGTTTTGAACTTGTAGTTGAAGGGTCCATCGGTGAGGTATCCTGAGGGTTCGGTCAATCTAGAAAATGCAAAACAAAACAAGACCATTAACTAAAATGGTTTCACCAGTGTGGGAAACAATGTAAACACTTCCTTCACAAGTGAGAGGATGTGGTTATGAACAGAGTTTGTTTCTATGGTTATGGATTTATTTTTGCTCCCCAAGGGAAGGATGACTAAACATTAAAGCACTAACTCTGTTTATGATCACCTCCCCCATCCTGTGATTAAGCATTTCTGCCTCAACTGGTGACGGCTCTTTGTTTTAGGTTTTACACACATCTAAATGTTTCATGAGTATATGGGTTAAAAGAACTTTTCTTTAAACAAAATATGAACACGTAGACTACCAGTCAAAAGTTTGGACACACATTCTCATCAACTGAATAACGAAGTGTGGCAAAACTTTGGACTGATTATGTGTATAAGTTTAAAGCATAACTATAATCACATCTCACTTTTTTAGATCATACCAAAGTAGATTTTTTCTAAAAACTAAATAACATCACAAAATATATAACAGCAGATAGCAAAACCAGCCCAGTGAGCAAAAGACGAGGCCTGAGCAACCAAAGCTTTGTGCAATGTTTCATAATTATAGGGGGAATATAAATAGACAAACACCATCTGTATACTTCAGAAGAAATTAAGAGTTGGATAAATTTACCTACAATTTTTTGGCTACTAGGATGCTTTTATCTTATTAAAAAAAATCAAATTTTAATAAATTGAATATTTTACATGTTTTGCCAGTACAAAACAAAGAAGATTGTTATATAATGTTTAGCATAGTTTCAACAGCATGTCAGATATTGTGGCTGTAAACTCACCAAACCAGAATAACTTCAAGAGCAGTGTTGTTTTCGTCAATGATGAGGATGACAAAATCGTTTCGTTTATGCTCCTTTTTTTATGACCAAAATGAAAACTGACGAGCAGTATGTCTCTTCCTGCTCTTGCTACTTAATAAACTATGTGGCTGATCATCCTCTGCCAAGCTTAAAAAAATCCCTTTAGTATCAATATAATTACATTAATTAATTTCTTCCAGCTCACAAGAGGTGATACTAAACATTCTTTAATTCATACCAAAAGGAATCCCCACGTTATATCCAAATAAAATATTTCATTCAAATATATCATTTCATTAAAATATTTCATTCCATTTTTGGATAAAGAGCCAAGTGTAAAAGTACATAGATCTTTAAATATTTCTCTCTCATTATTCTCATTTCTATCTATTTAAATATGGTGTAAATTTTTCCTTGTATTGTCATTAAAATAGTCTTTGTTTCATTTATATATGTTAACATTTTAGTTAGCATATTCATTCAATTTAGGTCTGGATTGTCATGGCATTACAAGGCAATTATAAAGGTTCTCTTTGTAATTTTTTATATAAAAACCATGTGAATTTTAATCTAATTTAACGTCTGAGCAGTGGTAACAATTGGGGGAAATCCTCAGACATAAAGCCAAAATTGCCAAAGTAGAAAGAAGAATGTTTTTGTTCTTTGCTTTTAGGAGCAATGAAGATTTTATTGATCTGTGTGTAATGCATAATTCAAAGTAAATCAGGAAGTATTTTTCTTTAGGATGGAACCCTTATATGTCTAAAACCATTCCTTTATTGTACATTTTGTTAGACTGTATCTCTGCTTTGTTAACCAATATGATGTGTTGAACTAGATCTGCTATTTTTACTACTTTTGTGGGATATCTTGTAATAAAGTTGTGCATTAATTCATAAAAAAGTTTATTTGAATTCTATAAATCAAAGTTTTCTGCCCAACAGCAATGATGATTTTCACAACATCATTCTATACCCAGCAATTGTAGTATCTAAGCTGTCAGTCTGGTAAAGAATCTGTTTTTTATTCAAAATTGTAAAGGTTCACTTTTTTTCAGCAACATAAAACTGACTAAATTAGACTAAAACCTTTTTAAGTTTTAGTGGACTAAAACTATCAGATATCGTAATGACCAAATTGCAACTAAGACTAATAGTTTTCCTCCTGAAGACTAAGACTAAATCTAAGATAGCTGCCCAAAGGAACACTGTTCAAGGGGCATCAGTTCTTCCCTATAAGACAGCATATACATGACTTGGAGCTTTAAAGATAAAATAATGTAACCGCTTTCCATACTAGGACAAAGCATGTTCTAAAAAACATCAGTCTTTCAATTTACACCTGCTGCATCCCTGGGAGTTACGACTGTTCTGCAGCTTGAACGCTGCACATGCCAAGGGTTGAAGTATTATCACTGATAAAGAGTTTGTTTTTTGCCGAGGATCTTTCCACAGCATGTCTGATGAAAACAACAAACACATTAAGACATTTGGGGCAATGCTATTTACAGAAATCGAGTTACATCTGTTCCGCTGAGAGCGGCTCAGATTTATTAAAAACCCTTTCCAAGTTCCTGTCAAGCTGTCGTTTATGAATTCTGCCCCTCGAACCCCAAGATTTTATTATATAAACCCAATTTAGTTTGACGTTTATCTGCACCAAAGCATCAAATGACATGTTTTCTTTCCTATTGATAATTCAACCAATAAAAGACCAGTTAAAACAGAACAGACGTTTCTGGAGATCTGAGTTGATTAGAGATGCCAGTGGGTGATCTCTGGTGTCCCAAACGGATTTATTCATTTGAGAATTTCATTGAGAATATAGTCTGAAATACTGAAGGACTGAGTCAATAAGAAACTGAATAGAAAGGTTTTATTTTAAGAACACCCATTAGTACTTTTTAATTTCCAATATACCAATGTTACAGTTGGAAAAAATTATATTTTCCTGATATATCAGCATGAATCATACATACTTTTATCACTGACTTTATAGGGTGAAATGTTAGAAAGGGTTTAGTCTAGGGATTTTGCTTAAAAGGAGAATAGTCAACAAAAATAGGCAGAAAAACAACTGAACAATGTGTTATTGATGGAAGCTTTTCTATATGATTGCTTGTGTTGGAGTATTTTGATGAGGGGAAATAATCTGATATTTGTTTTTTGCCTAATATCAGGCTGTTTTCTGATATCAAAATTGGATCGGGACATGCCTAGTTATTTGTATAGAATATATATTTGAATTTAGGCATGACTAATTGATTTGGATAGGAATAGATGCTATAGGTCAGGGGTCACCAACTCAGTGCCCATGGGCACCAAGGGGCTCTCAAGGACCAAATGGGGTGCCCTTTGTGTCTTCTGAAAACAGAACAACTCACCAGTGGACTAAGTTTAATATTTGATTTTATACTTTTGCTGTTCTTTTGTAATCATTTATAGAACAGTTTAACATATTAATCATATGGAGCGTTTCAAGCATTATATTAATATCTAAAAGAGAATAAGAAATTCAACAAAAAAATAAAAACATGCTTACTATGTATGAAGTTTAGGTCAACACGGACCCAACCTGTTCATAGGTCAGCATTGGTAGTGCTTCCTGTGACTTAGTAGCCATGAAGTAGCTGTAAGCTTTAAAAAGGTGGGTGATGCCTGCTCTAGATCAAAGTTCCTTAATTCTGGTGCTTGAAGTCCAGTGTCCTAAACCTTCTAGATGTGTCTCAGCTTCCACACACCTTAATCAAACGGCTAAATTACCTCCTCAGTGTGCAGAGTTCTCCAGAGTCATCGACCTGATTATTTGACTCCGATGTGTCGAAGCAGAGACACATCTAAAAGGAGCCCTGCTCTAGATGCTTCTCTAAACTCCATTGGTCTCTACCTACAGACTAAATAACAGAAGAACATATAAGAATACAATATAA